CGAGGCTGAGTTTGGAGCAGGGGATGATGCAAATGAAGAGGAGGAGAGGGCGGTGTCCAGCGCTCGCTCGGCGCGAAGGACCGCCGAAGGATCACCTCAGGACGAGAGCCGAATCCAGCGCCTGGCACAAGTGGAGCCCTTAAACGAAAAAGCTCAGTCGCGTGGGGCGGCAGAGCTGGGTGCAGCAGCCGCTCCCTCGAGCTGCTCCACGACGAAGGGGATTGGGGGACTCTTCAGAGGAAGAAAGAACTGCATAGACATCTACTTCCGGAGCTCCGCGCGGAGCTCCGAGAGTCTGTGTCCATGCAGTGCTTCTCGTCCGAGCAGTGTTGGGTGTAGCAGCCTCTCCCCCGAACTGCTCCCTCGCGATGGGGTCTGGGGACTCCTGCCCTCGCAGCCGAGAATGTACCGGCGGAGCCTCGGTGCCACTGCACCGCTCCCGCAGCTCCACGGTCTCCTGCGCTGCATGCTCTCTCGGCCCGAAGCCTGCTGGAACGCCTCGGCCCTCACCGCGCGAGAACCAGCCTGTCGGACCGCCTCCGGGGGGCCATACCAATTATCCTTGCCCTTGGGCGCCTGGCCAGGGCGAGGACACTGAGGATTGCGAACGTCAGCGGTGCCAGTTCGGCCACCATCGTGGCAGTAATGGCCATAGGATCCCCATCATCGTCACTACTTGTGTGTGTGCGGTGGGTATCAAGGCCAACCCCCTGCAGCATACCCCTGCTCCCACACGGGACCTCGGCATCCAGACGCGGCCGAGGAAGCACTGGAACTGGCGCATTGCGGGGGGATGCGCAAAGATCAGACTCAGAGGAAGCATGCGCCAGCTGCTGGCGCACACTGCAGCGCCACTTGCCCTGGCCTTTCACGGTGAGTGGCCCGAGCTTGCGATAGCCACCCGCAGCATTGTACGAGAGAGGACCCGCTGCCTGGCATCTGGTTATCAGCTCGTGAGCTCCGAGGCCCCCCGAGCACGCATCCGCGCAAGGGCCGCGGTCGGGTCCAAGAAGCCCCCGGGCCCGTGCCCAGCAGGGTGCAACACTCCATCCCCTCACGCCTCCTCAGCCGCTCCCCTGCCCCCACTTCTGCGACTGTGTGACAAGCCGCCACTGGGAGGTCGCGATCCGTCAGGAGGCGGCCCTCGTCCTCGGCATGGGAGGGGACACGCGGACGCTCTATCGTGCTTACACGTGCCCCCGACTGTTTCGGTCCAGTCTGATCCTCTACTGCGGAAGCCAAAAGGTAGGCACCGATGCCCGTCCTCTCCCGGGGTGCGTTCTGACCAGGACTTCGAGGCGAGTCCAGCCGTGGCGACGAGGGCCTCCCAGGGAGCCCGGGAAGGCGAAAACGAGGGAAGGCGAGCGGTAGCAGTACCTCTTCCTGCTCTGAGAGTTGGCCCCCCTCGGAGGGCTGGCTGGAACGCCCGGGTCAGGCCTTGAGGCGGCCTCGATGGTCCAGCTCCTCTCTGCGGGGCTCAGGGCCCAGCTCCGTGTGCGAGGCGAGCCCGAGATCGCGAGCCCGGCCGCTTGGCCGCGGAGCCTCGGGCTCGCCACCGTGTCGCCCAATCCGAGGTCCGGAGGCGACGGGTTGGAGAGACCGGCCTGGTGCGCTGCAGCACCTGGTTTAGGTCGGGCACGTCGTCCTACAGGCCGACTTTGGCGGAAAAATCAAAAATAGACCAAACATGTCAAACATGCTCAAACACTATTTTAAACAAGCCCCCATACTTTTTTGGGGAACATTTTTGGGGGATTCTCCTCCCGTAGAGGGACAGGCCCGACGTAACACCTGGTGCATGTTGCTGCTGCACCCTGGCCAGGCTCACTGCCGCGCCAGCTGCTTGGTCCTCTGGCGAGGGCCCACGCCGTCTTAAACCGCCCAGGCGGCTCCTTCTGGTACGGGTGGTCTCCCGCTGGCCTGGAATTCAGGAGCAGCAGAGCGCCTACTGCATCGATCTCTCCTGCCTCGCCTACAATTAATTATTCAATATGAATACTACTCTCCTCCTTCCCCTGATGACGGGTTGGGAGTGTTCGCCCCCCCCCCCCCCCGCGTACTGTTTTTTAACACACGGGATTCCCCGGAATTGGGTTTTCGCCTGCATTTTTTCAAAATGCTGCTCTCGCTGACGCGCCGGCCTCATTTTCGGGCCCCGCTCATTCCGAATCGTGCTCCCGCTGCAGCGCTAGCCTCATTTCCGTGCTTCCGCTCGTTCCGAATCGTGCTCCCGCTGCAGCGCTGGCCTGAATCTTGCTCCCGCTGCAGCGCTGGCGTCATTTCCCGTGCCATGCCACGGCATGCAATGCAATGCTAGATTGCGTTCCGCTGCGCGATGCCATGCCTTCAGCTGGAGCTGTGATATGCAGTGCTTACGTGCCACGTCGTGCTATGCCATGCTACGCTTTGATCTTCAACGCCATGCTATGCAATGTTATGTTCGGGGCCGCTGTGCGATGCTATGTTTTGCGTTGCAAAGCTTTGTGATGCAATTCTTCAC